AGCAGCACTTTGTGCACGGATGCCTGTGGTGTGTGTGTGTTGGATTGGATTCTGTGTGTATTCATGTTGAATTATACAGTCAAATATGGCAGAGACTCAGTCCAGAAGCAGTGGGATTTCCACACACACACACACAGAGACACACACACACACACAGAGACACACACACACACACACACACACACACTCTCCTTTTCATCCTCTGCCCTCTGTGCTGGAAAAAGAGATAGGGACGGACACAGTTTCCTTGACAACAGTAATTGTTAAGATGGAGCCACTTGGCAGGAACAAACTGTGTGTGTGTGTGTGTGTGTGTGTGTGGGGTCTATTGTGTGTGCGACTGGTGAACCAACAGGGCACGTTTTGGAGGTCATGCCATAAACCAGGCTATAATTATGTCTCTTCTTTGGGGGGTTATGTTACCATATTAGCCAACTATATTAATAGCCATTGATTTACACATACACTATATATAGTTATTGATTCCATGTTGGAATGATTCTTCTAGACGCTGGTTCTTCTGGCCGCTGTTGTCACAAGATGAAATTGAGGATGAACGATAAAAATAAATGATAAGATAAACATTTAAAAACAAATAACTGAGGAGAAAAAATGAGATGATTAAATTAATTGATAAGATAAACTAGTGACTGACTTTATATGATTATAGATTTTAGAAGTTAAACTGTTTAATGTTTAATAAAAATTGGAGTAAGTTTATATTTGTTTTTCAAAATGACAAGAAACAGACGTCCACACTTGGTTTGTGTACTACGATATTCTACTGTTAGTAAGGTGTGTGTGTGTGTGTGTGTGTGTGTGCGTGTGTGTGCGTGTGTGTGTGTGCGTGTGTGTGTGTGTGTGTGTGTGTGCGCGCGGTTTGCATAGCAGCTTTAACTGTACTGTGGCTCTGCATGAAAATGTTCAGGTCAAACACATAAATAACAGTAGTTTTGGCCAATAAAAATAACGTACACACCCAGTCGGTTCTGTGTTTTCTTCCTCTCAAACATCTCGGAGGGACGAGACAATTAGGTCACCCAGAGCCCCAAGGTGCTGTGGAGGAGAGAGGGAGAGACGGGGAGAGGGAGAAACAAAGAGACGAAGAAAAGAGACATGGGAGGACAAATAAAACTGTAGAAGAGATGGAGTTTATAACGCAGCAGCCTCGTGTTCTGCAGCTGCAGCTGGGAGCAGGATGTGATCTGTCTAACATCATCACGCTGAGAGAAACAATCAAAACGTGGTGATGTAATAGAAATTAACGAAGGCACGACATTTACAACTCCCTCTGAGAAAACGTGTTTGGGAGTGTATTATTTAACGTGTGTTAATCATTTCTACCTGCAGTAAACTAACGCAGTAAAAGACATCATTAAACACACCTCTGCGGAAATGAAAAACGAGATTAAATGATATAAAACGGACTCAAAGGTGCGTCATGAGCAGCTCAGTGAACTTCAGGTTTAATGAGGACACAATGAGCCACGGCTCTGATTGGTCTCACGTCTTTACTCCCTGCACACTTTTTATTTTTGGTCTCGTCATTGAGGTTTTCATGCTACACAGGTCAGTTCGACCTAGTGTTTAATATACCTGCACGTATTTACACCTGACCCATAGATGTACAGCACAATCACTCTCACTTATCATATCTCCTCCCTCCTGCTCTTGTGTGATCCCTCCTTAAACGCATACGCACAAAGGAGGGAGACGGCCGGCTGAATGCACGCCGCCGCAGCTGCGCCTCAGATGACAGGAAGACTGCGCTTCAAGGCGGCTGCGTCTGTTTGATAAATATCAAGCATGTCTTTAGGTGCAGAAAGCCTCGAACAGCACAGGAAGTGTGGCACAGAGTGAGGACGGCAGCAGGAGGAGGAGAAATTTGTGTTGTCTCTCTTTGATTCTTCATGGTCTCCACCAAAGACTGGCTGACCTTTTTCCTCCATTCCTAATTCCCTCAGGCGTATTCTTCATGGCTGGGGGTGGACCGGTTCGCTATTTTCACTCCTCTGAACACTGAAGCAGGTTTCTGCTCAGTGTAATCAGTTATTCAACTCAAATCTGAGTCTTCCAAAGTTATTTTTTAGTCTAAAATTCCTTCTTTGTGTTCCTCTGTTGGGTTTTGGTGCAGGGATGATAACTTTGAAAGATTCTGGGTTCAGCTGTGTAACTCAGATGATGCTGACGCCTCACACTGGCTGCAGATCAATATTATATCTACATTTTAGCAAAGGGTAAGGATTTTAAAGGATTTTAACCCCATCACTTGCACTGAAAGGGTTTGCCTTTGTGGTCAGTGAGGATTGTTTATAGCAAGTAAAAACTCTTTCATCGTCATTTGATTATTGTTGGCTGGACCGCAACAGCAGGCCCAGCCCCATGAACGCGAATCTTGCTGACTGACAAGTAATTAAGTTACACCATTGGTTGCATCAACTGACACTAGACTGAAACCAGCTGATACTAGACTGAAACCAGCTGACACTAGACTGAAACCATCTGATACTAGACTGAAACCAGCTGATACTAGACTGAAACCATCTGATACTAGACTGAAACCATCTGACACTAGACTGAAACCATCTGACACTAGACTGAAACCATCTGATACTAGACTGAAACCAGCTGACACTAGACTGAAACCAGCTGATACTAGACTGAAACCATCTGACACTAGACTGAAACCAGCTGATACTAGACTGAAACCAGCTGATACTAGACTGAAACCATCTGACACTAGACTGAATCCATCTGATACTAGACAGAATGATGACACAATGCGGTTGGATAAGGTTTGGATCCAGTCTTGTTTTAAATTGGATTTGAGAACTTGTGAACCTGTCCTTTAAAGTTAGCTCTATCCTCCAAAAAACTTGTGCAGTATCTGAACTTGCTAAAAGCCTCCTGAAGTTTTAAACTCTGCAGATTCGCCTGCTCTGCTGCAGCTGGAAAATGTTGATGTGAATGATTGTGTTTGGTTTGCACTATCTCTCTCACAGTCAAGAGAAACGTCTCCAGAGGACTGCAGTTGTTTGTCCAATGTATAAATCTCTCTGTATATAGGCCCTTGGAAAGAACAAATAAATACATGAAGAATTTGTTTGATTCACACATATTTTCATATTTCAAAAACAGAATTCCCTTCAAATCATCTCACATTTTTCCTTCTCTCTTTCTCTTGGTTGTTTCTGCCTCCTCGCTGCATGAGCTGAATTTCAATCTGTCTCTCCTCTGAGCTGAAGTTGAGTTCGGGAACAGTCGGTTGATTTTTCCAGTAGCACAGTTTGTTCCTCCTCCTCCTCCTCCTCCTCTTTGTTTCATGGTGGGGAAACGGAGATAAACAACAGGGGGAAAGCTCAGTCTGAATCCTTTGAAGTGATGAGAACTTTATACCGATGTACTGGTCGTATATGTACAAGGCTTTTTTTTAATCAAACAAAGAAAAGAAATTATATCTTAATCATTCCAATCAAGTTTGTTTTCTGATCAAAGCCCTATCCGTACAGGAGGCTACTTTTTGCAGTGATTGCTGTCGGTATAAACAAGAGATGCAGACAGATGCTCTTTGTTTTCCAAGACAGAGACTGACCTTTTGAGCTGAGCGCAGGTAATGGCATCAATTTAACGGGGGAAGATTTGCGAGCCTCCTCTGGTCAGGGCTAATGCTTTCTCCAAAGCCTGGCAGGCTGGGTGTGTTTGTACAGGGATGGGGGGGGGGCTGAAGTTGGGTAATACAGGACAAACTATGTTTAAGCTAATATAAACCCTGCTGGCCTTAACAGGGCTTAGCAGGATTTGGATGGAGAGAGTAAGAGGTGAAGATGGGAAGGCAAGAAGGGAATTTAGGGCAAAGGCTAGAACAACATTTGCACAGATGTGGGTGCCTGTTCTGGCTCTTGTATTCTGCTTTTATCAGTCTTTGCTAAGGTGTTAGATGGCCACAAGTACACATACATCCATATAATTTTATGTACTTTTGATCTGGGACTGTTTCATGACTTGTGCTTCCAGCGTTGTGGCAACAGTTTCCTGTTTCAACATGATAATGCCCTCGAGTCAGTGATGAAAGGTGTTTATTTGGAACTTGACTAATCTGTACAGAGCCCTGACTTCAACCTCATCAAACACTAACAGAGCTGCGAAGAAATAAGGTGCCGTTTTCGGGACGTGTGATAGTCGACTCTGAAACTCTCCCAGATGAATCATTGGTGCAAAAATATTGTTAGAAAATATCTTTGTCAAAAGGTAAAAGCTTATGTAGATAAAAACATAAAGCAAGGTGTGAAGTACCAATCTCAAGGTGCATTTAGGTAACAACCATCCAATAAGAGTTTAGAAAATAATGTCATGTAGAAGCTAAGAAGTTGATTAAATCATTTAGGATGAATTCAGCTACTATGCTGCTGTGTTTCAGCCGAGGCTCATGGGTACTGTAGTATTATTAACACCCATCTATCAAACTGTCAGACAAAACATGATTTATGGTTTCACACCCATGCTCTTTCAACAATCCCATTTAGGTGTGGTGTTGAAGTGTCCATATACTTAAGTATTTATCGCTATCTCATCATATAAATCACTTTCTGTGTAAAGGTGTGACAGGGATTGTCTGAGGCCATTGTGTATCCTTCCCATAGCTCTCTCAATATCAGCCAAGTCATTCAAAAGGTAAATGTTAGGTAGTTAATCCTTAATTTAATCTCTTTTCAAGAGAGACCTGTGCACAAAAAGGATATACAGCAAAGAAGCACAAAATAAAACAATTCAAACAAACATCTGACTGTAGCAGAAGAGGAAGGATTTGTTTTTCATACATCCAGTTTATCTGAATGTTACCTAATCAAGACGGCCTCACAAAGACATGACGAAATGCTTCTTTCACGGGAGGCACTAACTCCTCCACTCCTGTGTGCCTTTACTGTGTGAATACTACAAATGGGAATTCAGACTTAAATATGTGCCTTTACTCACCTCCCTGTTTCTCTGTCTGTCTGCAGGGTTAAGTGCAGCCAAGCTGTTGAAAGCCCATGGACTGAACCCTGTGGTGCTGGAGGCCAGGGATCGCGTCGGTGGTCGCACCTTCACTGTGCGGGTAAGACCAGGAGAGAAAACTACAGCATTATTAAACTGTTTTATGGTTGTGTTTAGACTCTCACAGTACGTGGTTAACACTAGGGAAAGATGGTCTGTTTTAACAGAACAAGTTCCGTTCAGTTAGGGTTAGGGTTCAATTATAAAGTTTGGTTGTGAGGAAATACAGCTACATGTAGAGTTGGGTGTCATCTGCATAGCGGGTGACATTCAATACCGTGCTTATGGATGACGAGCCCTACTGTCAGCATATAAAAACTAAAAGGTAGTGGACCCAGGACAAAGCCTTGTGGTACTCCATATGAAGTATCTGTTCTTTGTGATACGTGTTTTTGAAAAATGAGACCAAAAAAAAAAAATTTCTTTTGCTACGTTTTCCTCCTCGGGCACCGAAAACAGAGACTTTTGAAAATGATGACATAGACTCCCACAGTCTCTCCTGATTGGTTCTCCTCAGCCTCGACTACCAGTGTTGAATACAACATGATAATGAAATACAAGCATTACTGACCGTGTTGTTTTTGCTTTGTTGTTCCTTGTTTGTAATATTATTTTTCAACTAATCAAATGCAGAGTAGACAATCTACTTCCTGTTTACACCGGCTTGTACATGCCCAGGGTACGTGATCAGGTGTTGGTATGGACAGACATTGTTTGTGATATGGAGCTAAAACTGTCTTTTTCGTTTGAAGACATTGTTTTTAAAATGAAATGTAGTCGTGTGGATGTTGGCTGAGACTCTACCCATGTATTTGTTTATCATTTACACTCAGTCACTTCATGCGTTCTGGGCGAATTAGCTTTCTGATTCAAGATGCATTGAAATCTCACTACGGTCTAGCTAGATATTAAAAATGTGCGAATGCATTTGTCTTTCCAAGACGGTTGTGTAATCTTTACTCCTAGAGTTTGACTTGAAGCAGTTTGTGGTTTGTGGTTTGCAGCTCAAGTTAAACTGAAATTACATGATGATGATGATGAGATGAGCTGTTGTTCTTTGACTCATTGACTCATTGAAGCAACAAGGAAAAAAGGCTGCAGACATTTATACACACACTGAGCTGCTGTAGCATGTATCTGATCCAGTTCTTCTTTGTATTAGTGTATGGACAACTGTTAGCCAGAGCTAGATAAACTGCTTGATATGTGAAATGTAAATTATCTCTTTTGTCATGTTTTTCAGAATAAGGAGACAAAGTGGGTTGATCTGGGCGGGGCTTACATCGGACCAACTCAGAACCGCATCCTCCGATTGGCCAAAGAGTACAACATAAAGACGTACAAAGTGAACGAGCAGGAGAGCCTGGTGCATTATGTCAAGGTGAGTGTCCCAGTGTGTGTGTGTGTTTTTACAACAGCAGATAATATTCTACGGCGATGTGAAGTCTGTGACGGATGCATACACATTCCAGATGTGTCCTTCGGTTTCAGAAAGTAGCGCAAACATCCTGATTCTGAGCTGTTGTCCAATAGACGATAGATCATTCAGTTGGCCATGTAGGTCGTTAATATATTTGTCAGTTAACATTGCTGACAGTTGGCAGTTTATTAGGAACACCTAGCTAAAACTAATGCAGTCTTATACAATAATAAATCCTCGTGTCATGAAGGGAATTTGTCACATTTATCAAATAAGTCTCCATACGCTCAAAGCTGTTCACTGGTGATAATCAGAAGCGACAGCTGAGTGTAACTGCATGACAGATGAGCTGTACAATCTGCTATGGAAGTGTGATTCAACCTGCAGCTGCCATTAAAAACAGGCACTGGCGTCCCTCGCTCCTCTGACTCTCAGAGAAGACGGAGGTAACATTCAGAAGGAAACCAAACGCCGTGTCCTCGCTGCGACTTCCTCCATGTCTGCTGAGCAGCATTAGCGACTGGAGATGCTAATCTTCGCCTGAGGCCTCTCTGTAATGCAGTTTCTCTTTTCTCTGAGTGGTTGAAAGGATGGCAAAAGCAAACAAAAGAAGGAAGGAAGAAAGAGACACTGAGGCCATCTCTCTCTGTTCTTGTTATTCTTTGCTCTATATCTCATTAGCGTGGACGCACCGCTGTCCTTAACACAGTTGTGTCCCTCCACCTGATTTGATTTGCTGTTGCTGCCATGTACCCTGGTTCAAACTACCCCTACTGTAAATCACTGGACTTCCTGGTGTGGCTGGCGACTTTATATATATATATGCGTGTGTGTGTGTGTGTGTGTGTGTGTGAGCGCTTATCTCAACAAAGGCTGTGTTCAAGTCAATAAATGTCAACTTCAGAGATGGACTTTGAGCTTCTGGCCTCTAACACATTTTCACAGAATTATATAAAAAGCTGTTTGTAATGTACCTTTTGCCTTGGAGATCCTACAGACATGAAAGTGTAACTTAAAGGTCGTGAATCAAACGGCAACCTGAAACATGAAGCCAGAAGCTGCAGTTCCTCTAATGGCCACTAGAGTCTGGCTGCAACAGTGAGTCAGTCCCCATAGACTCCCATGTTAAAATGTCCAACTTTACAGCTTTACAGCTTTAAGCTGAAGTCTCAGCTCCATGCAAGCCCCTCCTCTTTGCCCATTTTTGAAATAGCTGGGAGTTAGGGGGCGGAGTCAGACACTGCCAAGATGGCGGCGGTGGAGCAGCACACTCTGAGCTTCAGAAACCTGTGGGTGACGTCACAGAGGCGACGGCCATCTTTATTTACAGTCTGCGGTCATGATACAGTAGAAGAAAGAATAAAATGACTAATGCAACACTTTCTGTCCTCTGGGATTTAAATGGACACGAAGGAGTCAATAAGCTCTGATCAGTGGTATATTGATTAATAACAGTATCTCTCAGTTTGCTTGATACTTCTTCTCTATATGAGTCCATGCTGAGTTATGGTTTCATGGCCGGTCTTTTTAGCACTGTGTCCTTTGCACTAATGCACCATTGACCTACTTCAGCAGTGCTGTGAAATATCACCTTCCTGACAGCAGCTGCAGAATAAACCTGAGGTTCAGGGAAGGACTCGACTGGACGCCGTGTGTGAGCTCTCCTGTTCGGGAGCTCCTGTGTCTCCTTAGCTACTATCTCTGCAAGATCCACTCAAAGACCCTGACTCACACACACTCACACACACACACACACACACACACACACACACACACACACACACACACACACACGCCTCTCGTAGCTTCCTGGCTGGTTTCCATGGCGGCATGCCTCATCAAAAGCCGCTCAGCCCTATCACTGTCAGACAGTGTGTGTTTGTGGATGTGTGCAGCGATGAGGGGAGCTCTGTTTTTTGTTTTTTTGGTGTCACTGCTCCCACAGCTGACTCTGCAAAAAATAATGAGAATCATTTTAAACTCAGAGACACAGTCGAGATCAAATCTGGTAATATTCTTATTATCAGAAAACCTCCATTTTAAAAACCAAAAGCAACAAGTTGATCCTGACGACTCTCTCATCAGACTAAATGAACATGGGTGCAGTGGGAGCTAACAAGAAGATGTAACCACACAGTTCACTCCGCCATTTATCCAGCATGTACCTGAGTGTACCTCCGACCTTTAACTCTGACCTCCTTGATGAAAACATGTCTTTGCTTCAGGGATCAATAAAGTTTTGCAGAGTCACTGTCAGCAGGAAAAAAATACTTAAAAGCAGGAAAACAGACTGAAGGAGGAGGAACTGGAGTTAAACAGGGCTTTAGTTATTAAACCACTAAAAGCAAAATTTCAGACTTCAGTTAAAGTTAAAGTGAAAACTTTTCCTCCCAAGAATAAAAAGTATTTATTCTGATTTTGACTTTGTGTCTGTACGCACCTCGTGCTCTGACATGTCGGCCATTTCCCTGACGAAGAACCAGGATAGAAACGTTTAGAAATAAAGTGTAAAAGACTCCAGTGAATGTGTCATCCTGCACCTGCTCTTCCTGCAGTGTCACTTCCTCTCACCTGTCACCTCTGACTGCAGCTGCTACCTGTCCTCCAGCACATGTTGCTGCTGTACCTCTGCACTGTGTTGTTAGCGAAGCGGCTCTTCAGACAGACGAGCTGCAGAATGTAAAAGTCTGACATTAATAACAGAGGAAAACACGGGGGTGAAATTCACATTGATCTTAACTTATATGATGGTGACATTACTTCACAGGACAGCAGCCAGAGTAAGAGTAAAGCAGCGTGTGAGCAGAGCCATTGTGTAATTAGCGCTAGCTTTCAAGCAAGCTGCGTAGCTAATCAGCTTTTCTATGGCAGATTATAATCCGAAAGGCCAGCGCTGGCCGCCCTTATCAGCAAACCGCTGGCTAACAGGCAGCTGCAGCTCTCAGCACAGGATTTATTAATGAGCCATCACTATCAGAGATGGAGGAACAGACTTTGATAAAATACTCTCCCTGGTTATCAGAGATTGAGAAAGAGCGGCGGATCGTCCCACGGGCTGCACCTCGGGCGGCGGGGAGGTCGTGCATGTCTGCACGTTCCAGGACCGATGATTGTGAAAGTCTGAACTACAGGAATTCTTAAAATGTCTCATTGCATCTGTTTCCATACGGGCCGTTATCTCATTTTAAAAACATGAGGTTTATAACCGTCTCCTCCCTCGAGGCTTCAAGTCGACGACTAAGAAACCTTTTCTCCACATGTGTAACTTTATTTGACAGGTTTATAAACGCTGCTCTACAACTGAACTTTGGAATTATGTGTTTCACATTAATAACCCAGTGATAATATATATCATATATGATAATATATATGATCGTGTGTAATCTAAACGACATATGTAACATCTTTCTGATCTCGTGTCGTGTCAGAGACTCGACTGCAACAACAACCTCAGATCACGTCTTTAATCTTCTTGTTGTCTGCGTTGGCTTGTTTTTAATCTTTGATCACTGCAGCTCGTCTTTTAAAGTGACCTCAGTGTTTAGTTGATTCATTTGGAAGAAAGGCCGGGGTTATTTCTGGGGTAACTTCAGGTTGTGCCCACACTGATATTGCACCTGTAGTGAAAGTGTTGTGTTGCGTTTGGCAGGAGAGTGAACACTCAGACACACTCAGTTTTCATCTTGAAGACAAAGTTTCTTACCCGATTTTATGTTATTAATTTCTTCAAATTATTTTTATTGTTTTTAAATGTTATTTTAATCTTATGAAGCACTATGATTTGCCTTGTGTCTGGATGGTGCTGTAGAAATAAACTAGCACTTCTACTTCTGATACTCTGAGTTTACTTTGATGCAAATAATCCTGAATGTTTAAGTAAAAGTAAGTAAAGAATCAGAACCTGCAGCTGGTGTATGATTCTGACTGACTCTCTGCTCACTGATGTGGACACAGATGCTGCTCCTCCTCCTCCTCCTCCTCCTCTGCTCTCCTCCTTCTGTATCCACTTGGCTGGCGTCACCATGGTGACAGACCTGTTGCTCCACGGCAACGGACAGTTTAGTGCACAGCAGTGGGTGATGTACTGTGAGACACTTGGTCCTCTGTCTCTGTCTGAGTTGCAGTTAAAAACCAAACAGTGTGGTGTCGACTCCGCAGTGTTCAGACGGTTCGTCGTCATGGCGAAATAATACTAACAGATATTTATCAGATTATAAACAACTCCTCCAGGTGTAGGAAGAAACTTTATAGAGGTCAAAGCTCTTCTGAAAACAGGGTTAGTTTAGAAATGAAGTAAGAATGAACCTTTTTACACAGTTATACTGAAAACTGTCTTAACTAACGTATCACAGCTGGTGGTCGAGATACTACAACAGACAAATCATTTCTGTGTCGACCAATGAACTCACACGAAGACAGAAAAAACAAACAGGCGACATAAAACACAAAGAACAAGTTGTTTTTCTCAAGCACTGGAGATTCCTCATACAAACATGTTCGTTTACAGGGAAGGTTTTTAGCATCTGTTAAATCCACAGTTTCATGGTTTTGACAGTTTGATACTTAAAACTATGTAGTTGCTCTTTTTGCAGAAAATAAATATCTATAATTATTTGTTTCCTTTTGATGAAAAAACTATTACAACCTTAATATTAAAGAAAAGCCAGAATTCCTTTTGAAATGATCTTTTCCCAGAAGAGTTTTGTCTTCCTACACTGCCAGTGAATGAAACGACGTCCCTTCCCCTCAGTAAATTTAACATAAATCTATATCTGGAGTGCCACTAAGAACCACAGAGGAGAGGCTCCGTGCTGCTGACAGTGAATCTCTGCATCCTGTTATTTTTATACAGCAGGAGTCACGTCCTCAGTGGTTTGTCTGGGCCTTTTTGATCTTTCCCTTTCGTCTGATACATGAGCTACAAACTGTTCAATTTAAAAAATCACACAGTAATATCATTTACCCTTTGGTTCTTTCAGGTCAAACTTTTTTGCTGTGTGTGTGTGTGTGTGTGTGTGTGTGTGTGTGTGTGTGTGTGTGTGTGTGTGTGTGTGTGTGTGTTCTCAGAGTACCAAACCTTCCCACAGTGATGTACGTTTATATTGAGTATCTGCTGGTTCAACCTGAGTGAAATGTTCAAACAAAGAAATGTACAAATGGAAATAAAAATAGATATTTAACTTTAACCATTTAAAAACAGAAAGCCATAATTCTATAGACAAGTTAGCATGTCTGTAAAGCCTGATAGCAGCTGGGGAAACGACACACACACACGTGCAGTCATATTGTTGGACAATTAAATGAACAAGTAAAATTTACAGAGAAAATAAAATAGTATATTTATCTGTTGTACGTTGGTGTGATCAGGAAAGAATCTCAGATGAAATGACAGCAAATTACATAACAAACCAAAATGAGATACTTTCCATAATAAGAGGCTGTTATTGGCTCAAGCTCAGTGCAGCAGCATGAGAGTGATCCCAGGAAACCAGACGAGGGATCCACGGCGAGGCTGAGAGCGCTCACACAAAGGCTTCATTATATGGAGCCACTCTCCGTTTCTTTCGGGGGAAGCTGGAGTTTAATGGAGTTTAAAGCAAATTTAACCGTCAAATCTAAATGTCAATGACGTTACGCTGGAGAGACCATGCACGGTTACACCAGCAGCACATGCATGAATGGACAGTTAAAGTTCCTTCTACACAGCCAGGAGCGCCGGTCGCTAGAAAACAGCAAAATGTGATCTTTGTTTGAGGTGTTTGGATTCAGACATAAAACACCAAGACGATCTCTTTGTTCTAAACAATTAAATGCCTTTATTATCATATCGTGATCACGTTTGAACTAAAAACGGCATCAAGCCAAACAGATCTCACCGAGCTGGTGAGAATCCGTCACTTGTAGAGGGCGTAGACGTACAGAAACTCCAGAAGATGGCGCCGTTTTTGGCGATCAAAGCTGATTTTAAAGAGCAGCACAGGTTATACAATAGTAGGTTTTCGTTTTAGCCTGTAATTTGTCGGCTTCTCGTTGGTTAAGTTTCCTCTGCCCGTCACCTTTCCCAGTGGATGATGGGATGTGGTCAGTGTAATGTGGGAGTGCGACTGCCAGGCGAACGGTAGTCGACAGTCCCCGCCAGACAGTCCTGCAAACGTCTTCTTGTTCTGACTCTCGGGCCCAGTTTTACAGTTACTGAAATGATTCCTGGTGAACCGGTAGAAGCTGAATGGAGGGCAGCTGGACTTGGTTGTAGATACCTGAAGACGTTTCGCCTCTCGTACAAGAGGCTTCTTCAGTTCTGGAGATGAGAGGGGGAAACATCCGGACCCCAGATGTTTTTTTTAAATGGATTTAAAAAATTAGGTTTAAACCGTGGTCCAAGGTTGGGACAGGCAGTCTGACCGGAGTCTATGGAGCTGGTAAATTGCTGAGGTACTGGAATGCTCACCTGAGACGATGACGTGTTGTATCTGGGTTCCTGGTTTCTCTCTTGCCCCTTATCTTCTTCCTTGTCCTGGTTCAGGTCCGTCTTTGAAGTAAGTTGAATGTGAAATCTGCCATGTCAGAGAGTTGGCATAACTAACCATGGCTCCCTCTGAACCTGCCCACTCTCCCTCCACATTTGTAAATGAGTTGTGTGGTTGGGAAATAGAGCAATAGTCCAGACTTATAAACACCACATGGATGGCAGTCGCTCTTATCGTGGCTGATGACTCTGAATCTTTGACTTTGTTGGAAAATGTTGCGCAACTGGCAACTTACCAAGCTGTTGCTTTACCTTTCGCACGCCACTTGGATATCGCCCACAGTCATTGTGACTAAGCAGACTGGAGGTCAACTTAAGGTCGACTCATTCGGGTTCTTTTTAACTACTAATCAGTTTAATCCCGTGTTTTAACAGCTGTTTAAATTTGAATAATTTACTTATATATATATATTACATATTCAGTGACATAAAGAACTCTAACTTTACTTATAACATTAGACCAGATGAAAGTGCTGATGTTGGACTTTCAAACACTAAATATCTATATCTACCTATACCTCAATAGCTCACCTAAACGGCCAATAGCATTATCAATATATTGACCGTTGATCAGTAGGACCCATATGCAAATGTAATATATGTACATATATTCAATTCCCCTGTATGAAATATACATTTATATTTTATGTAAATATATATAAAGATTATATATGAAACCTGTTAGAAATTGGAACAATTATATTGACACATATATCGAGCCTATACAAATAAATGTATGAATGCTTATATTGTAGACAGACACAGCCTGTCAGTGTATGTTGATATTATAAACAGTCTGAGACACTTTCAGTTAAATGTGTTTAAAAGTAATGAGAAATTAATAAGAAAAACATAGAAACACATAGTATTTGTTGTTTTAATGAACTTGCATAAATAAAATTATAATGTTAACACATAATTTTTACATTAATATATGCACATATACAGATTTCACTAAGGGCATTCCATATATGTTATAAAGTTATATCTTCATATATCCAGAGGAAGTCTATATGGTGACATGTATGTATACAACAGAGTGTAGCTGAGCAGGACATAATGCGAGGAGGTGAAGTTCTAAATCATGACAACATTGTGTGTTCAACAGGGAAAGTCGTACCCGTTCAAAGGCTCCTTCCCCCCCATGTGGAACCCCATCGTCCTGCTGGACTTCAACAACCTGTGGAGGACGATGGACGAGATGGGCAAGGAGGTAAAGCGAGGTTTTTTTTCTTTCACTCTCCGTTCTTTGTTAAGCGTTTGTTTGTCCCTCGCTCATCTTCTTCCTCCTCCTCCTCCTCCTCCTCCTCGTGTTTCAGATTCCCAGAGAGGCGCCCTGGAGAGCTCCCCACGCCGAGGAGTGGGACAAGATGAGCATGCAGCAGCTCTTTGAAAAAATCTGCTGGACCAGGTGACACGAAGTCAATGACAAGAAAGACACCGGCAGAATGATGGGTGACGTTAACTGGTGTTAATCCCTCTCTCTCTATCTCTTAGCGCCGTCCGTCGCTTCGCCACCCTGTTCGTCAACGTGAATGTGACCTCTGAACCCCACGAGGTGTCGGCGCTGTGGTTCCTCTGGTATGTGAAGCAGTGCGGAGGAACCATGAGGATCTTCTCCACTTCTAACGGAGGACAGGTACGAGTGTGTGTGTGTGTGTGTGTGTGTGTGTGCGCAGCATCTATATTTGTCCCTGTGCACGTGAGCTGTCCTGTTTGCTCAGCGAAGCAGCCACACATCTGGTTTTGACAGAGCGTCTGTATCAAAGATGTGAACTGATTCGCCACAGTGTCACGTTGCAGCTGAATTTTACAGATCTTGTATTTTCCTGGAAACTCGCCTCATAAATTACCATTAAAATAAGCCGTTAATTACTGGGATATTCCCAAGAGAGGCAGATGCACTTTGGTTCTAATTACAAGGAAAATAAAAAAGGTATTAAATTGTTGTTTATATCCGCATGTGTTTCCTAGAAAGATTCTTCATGACTTTGACTTTCATTCAAGTACTTGACGTTTATGCTTCATGTCTCTTTTTAGCTGCGAACTGGAAACTCCTGTCAAACTGATGATGCTAATAAATAAAGTTGTGCAGGACTTCAGCCGCAGCCCGCTGAGATGTGTTGACTCATGCAAAGCAGGAGGCAGAGAGACCCCACAGCCTCCTGAATCAGCCCTGATACGTTCACCTCGGTTCACCGCTGATCAGCTCGGCATAATGATGAGCCTGACAAAAGCTGTTTTCTTGGAGCGCGCCGTACTTTTCAAGCTGAGTGTCCCTGTTGCCATAGCCACAGAGGAACAGGGGTTGTGTTTCACTAAACAGACCGTGCTGTGGGCCTGCTCTGATGTCACAGACCTCCTCATTTCACTCTTGTTTATGTGTGTGCATGGGTATGTGAACAGTGCATGCACATAGGCATAGGATGACCAGATGTCCCCGTTTTTTGGTGGCTTGTCCTCGGGTTGAGCTGTCCCCGGAAACGTCCGAGTTTTTTAACGTTTGTAATTAAAAACATACATGTAACGTTGCGCTTGTTTTGGCCAACAGAGGGGGCTCGCTGCTAGCTACAGCAGCTTCAGAAGTGAAGCTAAAACCATCAAAACAGAGTTATCCGATCAGATTTTTCTTCTTTTTTGTTGTTGTCTCTAGGCCAAGAAAAGCTTAGCTGGCTCACTCATTGGTTAGGAGTTCATAACCAGCAGTAAACTAACAAAAATAAACATACTTCACAACTGCTTCAAAGGTAGGGAGTCGTCATTGTATCAGTCGGCCTTCACAATAGTTTATTACAATACAAAATGTTGGAAACAGTTCCCGGTTTTCATTTCAGAAATCTGGTCATCTCGTCTTTAATCAAACGAGACAAGCTCAGTTGCACCTCGTTGCGCTGCCAGAACAGATTTAGGTTTATTTAGCTCGTAATTTTCCGGTGACTGGCAGGAAAAATTCATCCAAATGCCACAGAGGAATGCGCAGCATGTGTTTGTGATCAGGGAGAACAGGGAACAGAGAGACGTTGACACTAACCATATGGAAAAGGTCACTGTCTATTTAATTTTGTGTACGAGAGCTTTGGCAGCACTTAATCGCTTTCCACCCCCTCAGTCCGCCCCATCAGTCAGCAGTGAGTCGCCAGCCCGAGCTCTGCAAACGCATTTTCCGTTTTGGTTGAAGAAATTCGTAGTGAGTGATGGAGGGAGGACTGAGGATAAAACCAGTATAAATCAACAGATTTTTATCGGCTTTCCTCCGACATGAAGGTTTTATATGCCGGGTGGAGTCGCGCTGCGAGCAGGGTCAGACTGAATAGACTAGTTTAGATCCCTCCAGTCCAGCCGCCTCTGCTCTCTGTGGTTTACCCTCCTCAACGACTTGACCGCTGCTCTCTCTCTCTTTCCTCCTCTGCAGGAGAGGAAGTTCGTAGGCGGCTCCAGTCAGATCAGCGAGTGCATGGCCAAGGAGCTGGGCGACCGAGTGAAGCTGCAGTCTCCGGTCTACAGGATCGACCAGAGCGGAGACGTGGTGGTGGTGGAGACGCTGGACAAACAGACTTACATGGTAACGCAGTGAAGCAGCGTCACGACTACAGCCACGACACAGAATCCTAGTTATGGTTCAGAGGTAGCCAGACTTCCCCAGGGTGTTTCTACCTCTCTACGCCACTATGTTTTACATTTGAAAACATTGGAGATTATAAAATATAACACACACAACTGTTTTCAGCTGAGATAAAAAGCAGCGTCTCCTCCTCCTCCGAACTTCACACGTTTTCACTTAAAGAACCGTTCTAGGCCCAAAGATTTCAAATTACCCAATACTGCACAAAAGTTTCCTCCTCTTTACTCTCTTGTGAATCATGTGACAGATTTATCTTATGACCTTCAGACGGACCTGAACCAGGATGTAAAGTATTTCAAACTGCTGGAGGCATCAGTCTAATAATCACAGGGGACATTTGCATTCTCTATTCTTACTCTAGTAGGATTTTGAATGCAGGACTTCTCCTTATATTTTTACCATTTCATTTAACTTTTATTCCTTTTATTGGTTTTATACGTCTTATTTTTATTGGACTATTTATTATTATTTTAATCACTTTTTATTCCTACTTTTTTTTATTAGTTTTAATTTGCACACCTTTTGGGTTTTTAAATATTTTATTTTCTTATAGTTTTTAATTCTTACGTGTGAGTTATGTGTTTTTAATTTGTGTCTAATGTTTTATCTTTACACTATCCACATAGTTTTTGTGGTTGTAACTTCCTTGATAATTCTTCTTCTTCTTCTTCATCTTCTTCTTCTTCTTCTTCCTCTTCTTCTTCTTTGTGCCGCACATAGTTCTTCCACCTGGGATGAAATGTGCTGTATAAATAAAGCTGCTTTCAGTCTTCCAGCACTGCAGACATATTTATTACCATATTATTGTTGTATTATTGGTTTAATGATAATAAACGTAGATTTATAAAGATGTAATTCTTCCATCAGCTCAGTCTGAAGCACAAACTGCAGCCGACAGTAGTTCTGTGCTGCCATCCTCTGGTTGCTTGGCAACCTGCTGCCATGTGCCATGGGATGCAGCTCACACTGTCCTGTTTGTGTTTGTGCCTCTCTCTCTCTCTCTCTCTCTCTCTCTCTCTCTCTCTCTCTCAGGCCAAGTACGTGATCCTGGCCACGCCTCCTGGTCTGAATCTGAAGATGCACTTTAACCCTGAGCTGCCGCCACTCAGGAACCAGCTGATCCACCGCGTCCCCATGGGCTCCGTCATCAAGTGCATGGTTTACTACAAAGACAACTTCTGGAGGAGAAAGGGTGAGAGAGAGAGAGAGAGAGAGCGGGAACCCTGCTCCACATGAATGAATAAAGTTTGTATATAAAGTTGATAGAAAACTTTTTTAATGAGCAGGCAAATACTCAAATAGTTCAAGTGTCCACTTCAAGTGTTTTCATAAAGAAACAATCTAGTTTTAGTTTTACTGGAGAACTTCTTTCTGGAGGTATAAAACATAGAACAAGATTAAACAAAGTGCATTTCATTTTCTACGTGACACTTGAACTGTTCTTCAACACCAGCACAACGTCCTGCGGAGACGCCACACCTCAGTCGGGCAGAGATCTTTTCTTTTCAGCTTCATCCGAATCTCATCTGCTCGTTTTTCTTTACACAACTGAAAAGTGAACATTAGCTCTAGTCCTTTTAAAGTTTCCTCACATCACAATACAGTGTGTAAATACCACATGACTGTCTCCCCCACAGGAGGGTTTCCTCACCCAGTCTGCTGTGGTTCATACCCAGTTCTCAGGTCCAGTCTCCCCAAACAAACAGACCAACGTTCTTCACAGAATTCACAGACTTTGTCCAAACATGATGTTAATTTTCCAGCTGCCACTTCTTACTCCTCCGTTCATCAGCGTCAGAGATTTGTAGATTTCTGTCGCCGCGCTGAAAAAAACATCGTCTGCGTAAAGAAGCGCTCTCATTTACTTAATCATGAAGTGGATCATTAATACAGACTGTTGGAGGAAGGTCATCGACCCGCTTTAACCCCGCAGGCTCGGAGTCAAAGCATTTATCCTCTGACATGCTTCTTAACGTTGCTGTGTTTCTGACGTGCGTCCAGGTTACTGCGGCAGCATGGTGATCGAGGAGGAGGGCGCTCCCATTGGTCTGACGCTGGATGACACAAAGCCTGATGGGACGGTGCCTGCTATCATGGGGTGAATACATCGCATAGATGATATTATACTTACACTACAACACCTGAGAGCATGTGACCGTCCCATTCCTGAACCGTGAGCGTTAAAGGACGGAGGTGTGACAGTATTTAAATGCTGATTAAGGTTTAAAGGNCAGGAATGGGACAGTAGGTGAGGTGTGACAGTATTTAAATGCTGATTAAGGTTTAAAGGTGTTTCTCTGCGGCACCAAGCCCGATGTTTCCCGCTGAAGACGCAGTAAATCTGTAAAAACAACACAAACATGTTTATTTTTTTAAATAAGACTCGGCCATTTCACTGGGAACTGGACTTTTTCACAAATATCACTAAAATTTGTGTGGACAGTGAACTGATCGCAGTGTGGATCATTTTTTCTCTTCTCCCTCTCCTCCAGATTCATCCTCGCCCGCAAGTGCAGAAAACTATCAGGGCTGACCAAAGAGGAGAGGTGGGCGGCGACGACACAGCTGATTAACTCTCTCACATAAAGCTGCAGGACGGGTTTAATCCAAACTCTTGTCTCTCTGGTTTCAGACTGAAGAGGATCTGTGAGATCTACTCCAGGGTGCTGGGCTCAGAGGAGGCTCTGCATGTGAGTGTGGCTGTTTCTTTTAGCTCCATTTACAATGACAAGTGTTTTCACTCGGTGGCTGCACAGGAGCGGGAAACGGTTTTGGCTTTGACAGCCGGCCACTGTGAGCTGTCATGTGCATATTTAATTTATTTTGGTAAATTTGCTTTGTGGCGTTTAGTTCGTCTGTTTTGTGGTAAAATAAATACATTAAATTAAATGAATTTTTGTGGTGCCATTCAAGGAACCACTGCTGTCGTGAATTCTCAGTCACACAGCTGCATCACCAGTTCATCCATTCATGTGTTCACCTGTGTGTTTCAGCCCGTGCACTATGAGGAGAAGAACTGGTGTGAGGAGGAGTATTCTGGGGGCTGCTACACAGCCTACTTCCCCCCAGGAATCCTTACCCAGTACGGCAGGTGAGTCTCTCACACACACACACACACACACACACACACACACACACACACACACACACACACACACACACACACAGTTTGTCCGTCTTTGAACTGTGAGATAATAAAACCCATGATAATGAAACTCACTCAGGGTTTGTAGCTCTTTGAATTCGTTGATTCATCATCACATTAGTTCAGGGACGACCAACTGTTTTAAATGAGAGATTATTTTACACACAACAGTGTAGCTATTGAAATGCAGTAGTTATTGGTCAGGGCAAAACATCCATAATATCACAGACTATGTATTTAATTAATTAGCAACAGCTATAAACTCTTTGTGCAGCACATTAGTTTCATAACCTGTTTTGAAACAACGTTAAATTGCATCGTCCCTGTTGAATGAATAAATAAACGAAATGAAAGTTCACCTTTAAACCTCACGGAGCAGCTGTAAGCTCAGGGTCTCGGTCTCCTCCTGTCCCCAGGGTGCTGCGGGAGCCCGTCGGCAGGTTGTACTTCGCGGGAACAGAGACCGCCACGGAGTGGAGCGGCTACATGGAGGGGGCGGTGCAGGCCGGAGAGAGGGCGGCCAGAGAGGTGAGAGCGCCGACAGCCTCCGAACACACCTCACAACTCTTTAAGAAACCAGGAGGTCAAACGCAGAGAGGAAGAGTCAGTCCAAGAAGTTACCCCAGAGGCAAATTTACTGCTTCTTTCAGTTTGACTCTGAAACCATCATCACGGCTCAGGTGGAGATGTGAGGACACGGCGTAGCAGGTGTGGCTCGTGTCAGTTAGACCTAACTGGTTCCTGCCACCGACACCAGCCGCTGATGATGCTGACGAAGCAGCAAATTCTCCTCTGTGCTTTTTGAAATACAATCACCTAAACCTTAAAAATGCTCCTCTGTACATGAATTTTAATATTTTTTCAAAACCAATAATAAAAAGTCCAAATGAAAAAGTTCAATGTCCCAAAAATACCAGGGTTCTATACACAAGTCTTCTCGACATGTTGATGCTGAAGTAGAGATGAACAGACATATTCCATGTATGAAACATATGTAAAAATGATATGAAACCTATTAGAAATTTGAACAATTACATATATTGACATATATATATGTATATACGCACATCCAGCTCATACAAATATATATATATATATATACATATATATTTATGTATGTTTGCTTATATTTTAGACATAGGTTAAATAAATATATATCCAAGCCAAAGCCTGTCAGTATATGTTGATGTTATAAACAGTAAAGTCCAAAAGTCTGAGACACTTTCTAGACTTTCAAGACTAGAGATTCAAATCAATAATAAAAACGTATATAAACGTACAGAATTTTTCTGTATTTGTTTTAATAAACTTAGTCGTTAACATATATTGTATGGATGTTTCATATACGTTAACTAATGACTTCTATATTTCTATATTTCATGTTGTTCAGTCATTCTGTCTGAGAAGATCGTACACGTGTCTCTTGATTACCTCGTAAAGCAGCAGAGCTCTACTCTGGTTATATTTCTTTCTTTCTGCATGAATCAGACTTTTCTCTCCCTGGTCATGTTCACCCTCTCGCCCAGGGGTGCCCCCACCTCCCACTGATGCAGGCTCCTTCATAGATCAGCCGGGCGCTCGTTCATGCTGCTTATTTAAACTGCTCCTTGATGCTCCTAAACACAACCTGCTGTTCACAGTTTACCCCCCCCCCATGAGTTCATGCTGTCTCCGCTGAATGAAGATCTGAAAGATTCAAAAGAAAGAAAAATATATAAAATATATCACTATTAATTTCTCCTGTGTGAGTAACATCTGCTCAACATGGCGGCGCCCGGCTCTTTCAGGAAATGACCTTACTTTATATTTCTGTATATATTGCATATGTTCCTGTTTGCTGTCACTGCTCATGCTGTGTGTGTTTGTGACTGTAATGACGGGGTTCCTCCCTGACTGTTCTGCTGCAGGTCATGTGTTCCATGGGTAAAATCCACCAGAGTCAGATCTGGCAGACGGAGCCTCAGAGCGTGGTGAGGGAACTCTCTCTGAATGTTTACGCACCAGATGAAGCTTTAAAACGTTGAATAAATGTAACTGATCCTCCTTTCTCTCCCCCCTCCCCCTCTGTCCCTCCCCCAGGAGGTTCCTGCCCTCCCCTTCGTCACCACCTTCTGGGAGAGGAACCTGCCTTCGGTCGGCGGTCTCCTCAAGTTCATGGGAGTCTCCACCTTCCTGTCCGTCGCCACGGCAGCCGGCCTGATGGCCTACAAGAAGGGCCTCCTCCCCCGCAGGTAAAACCCCCCCTCCCCCCCCCCCCCCCCCTCCCCCCCTCCCTCACCCGTCATCTCACTCCTCTGCATCTCAACAGACGCTGTACTTCTAGTGCACTACTTTACGCTCCACACGACAGAGTAGTGCACCACGCAGGCTACAGGAGGCTTTTGTGAGAAGCAAGAAAAGACTGTTGAGCTGAAAACACTGACGCACCGTCACCGCAGAGAGGGAGACTAACCACCGAGACGAGGAGTGAGGAAGACTTCGCTTCATCTTTAATCTTCTTCAGATTCAAACCAGATTGAAACCAATGAAGGAAAAAGATCAGAACCGATTCAAAAGAAAGAAAGAATATATAAATATATAAAATATATCACTATTAATATTAATATTCCACGCATTGCCAATGACATTCACATCCTTGATTACATGAGAGTTTAATAACTCATCATGCTTTCTGTGTGTGTGTATGTGTGCGTGTGTGTGAGTGTGTGTGTGTGTGTGTGTGTGTGTGAGCTTTGTTTGTATGCATGCATTCGTGAGTGTGTGTTGTGTACAAAGTGTGTGTGTGTGTGCGTGCGTATCCACTGTGTCTAATTACCTCTGCTGATTTTAGGTGCTGATTTATTCTGGCCGAGCAGCTGCGGCTGTTTGATGAGATCCAGTTAACGTCAGAACAGAACAGGAGTTGTGCCGTCGCCCGTTACAGACTCTGAGAGGAGGTTCAGGGATGAAGCTGGCCGTGTTCTGTGTTTCTCTCGCTGTCGACTAATCCCATGGAAACACAACAATGAATTGATCCTGTTATCGAGTATTGTCCGATCGCCTGATTTAGCTTCTTCCTCTGACCCAGTGTCGTTGGAAAACTGCTAAAAACACACGAGTGCGTCACTCCGTCGCTCTGTGACGTTTCTCTTTTCTTGTTTCTCTCACTACGATGAACGTGGGCTCTGATGTTTACTCTGCGTCAGCGCCACACACGCCGTCCTGCTGCTATAAATACTCACCACTCGTGCACCAAACCTGTATCACTCCGCTGCCTGAAGTGTTGTTTTAAAGCTGAAGCTTCACACTCCGAGTCACACTCACTCTGGAAAGTTTCATTTATATAAATTTACATATATTTCCAAGAATCACAAATCTGCCTCAGAGGCCTTTATGATTCGTACAACACGAGTCGACGCTGACTGTAGTTGATTTTTAAATTAATCTCACAAAAATACAAAGGCAGTGTTTTCTCCTGCGTGAGTAACATCTGCTCAACACGGCGCCGCCCGACTCTTTCAGGAAATGACCTTTACACTGATGAACTGACAGGTTAGGAGAGTATTCAGAGACGAGTTCATTGTCAGTTTTCATGGGATGTTTTGACATTAGAAAAAAAAAGAAAAAGAATAACAAAAAGCATAAGAAGAATAACGCCAGCTTTATTCTCCGGATTAAAAGCTGTACTTGGTGATGCAGCGCTGAGCGGCTCCGTGTGCTCGTCTTTTGGCTAAATGTAATGGAAGCATTCGAATGTATTTTCTTCAGAATAGATAACAAACCATTTGTTGCTGTTATATGATCATCTGATTTTAAATTTTTTTCTCATTCATTATTTTAGTTGATCAGTGGTTGTCAAACGTTGGATGAATAGAACTGATGTGGGGAATTAAACAAGAGTTTGCTGATGCTGTTTGAGGAGAACCACTGATTTAATGACTGCAGTTCCTCCAACAAGAGACGCTGTGTCCCACGTTCAGGGCGCGCATCGTAGACCGCGAAGGCCCGACCGAAATGAGCTGATCTGGCCTGTTCCCGCCCTTTCCGTTGCGTCGCAAAGTGATGCTCCTGTTGAGGTTTTAAGTCTGTTGGTTTTAACAGTTGTAGCGTTAGCTGTTAGCTGAACTGGGCTGAACCCTCACGCTCTTTGTCACTGTGGTTTGCCGCCATATTGAGCACGCAATGAATCTTGGGAAATGTTGGGCCAGGAAGGATCCACCTGTTGTAGAAGAAGGACGCATTCGAAGCGTCTTCGAACGCAGCCTCTGAACTGGGACACAGCCTGCGTGTTGGATTTTATCGACTTACATTATCGCACCTGATAGAAGCTTTTATTGTTTTATTCAGTGATGGAGAATCTAATGAGTTTTAAACCAGAGAAGATGTAGCTCATGTTCATAAGAAAACTTCTGATTCCTCTTAAACTAAACGTGAGAATACAGATGAAGGATTATTCTCAGAGAGACGAACAGCTAAACAACCGCTAACCGTTGGCCGCAGTTCAACAGCGCTCGCCCCGTGCCGAGCCAGATGTAGGACGTCTGGATGTAGCAGGATGGAGATCTGGTTTTTTTGGAGGGTGGATGTGAAGAAAAAACCAATCGACACACAGGACTGACTCCAACAGAGAGCTGGTGTTTGCTGCGCTGTGTGTGCAGCTGTGTGTGCTCACTGAGAGAATCCTGCTGTTCTTGTCCCAAAGACTGGTGTGTGTGTGTGTGTGTGTGTGTGTGTGTGTGTGTGTGTGTGTGTGTGTGGTTATCTGTTGTGCCTTAATGGAACTCGTAGTGTTTTTGTCATTTCTCTCAAGTGCCTGTGTGACTCTGACACTCTCTCCCCTCCCCTCCCCCTCCCCCTCGCCCCCGGCCCCTGCCCCCTCCTGGCCTGCCGAGGGTGATGGGAGGTCAGATGGAGCTGAGGTCGTGGATCACTGTCTTGATCAGTCACCAGTAAACCAGTATACGCCAGGACTGCAAAACACCTAGCCCTGTTAGCAATGTCCACAAACTCTTTAATTTTACCCCCCCCCCCCCGCCTCCCGTGGGTACGCTGAGTGACACTCTCAGTATAAAGTCGACTCAGGTGAAGCCGGGTGTGTAAACAGTGTCACCTTTGAATACCAGAGCTCAGACTGTTGGGTTTATCAAACCGCTTATCTCCAGTGAAGCCAAGTGTGTGTGTGTGTGTGTGTGTGTGTGCCGGGTGTGGTGTGTGTGTGGCGTATTGTGTGTTGTGTGTGTGCTTCATTGCCCCGCTTGTTGTGCACGCTCCTCATGTTTCCTTAGGCTGCTTAACCGTACCTTGTTAGTGCCAGACCTTTCCTCCCCTTGCCCCTTCATCCCACCCCCCTACCCCACCCCCACCCACCAGGCCGACTCTAGAAGTGAAGATTGGACGATGATGTTTTTAACTCACATTTTAACCCACACCTGACATGTTACCTGACGTCAGTGACCAGAAAACAAAAAACCAGCACACTGTTTCCGTACTAGCACCAGAACCATCAGCAGACATGATGTGTGGTTTACTCCATGTCTCACCCTTCTTCATTGTTCTCTGGAGACCGTCCCTCCGTCCCTCTTGTCCTTCTGTGCACATGAGCCTCCGTCATGCTTCCTGTGACCCGTCTTTGATGTCTCTGATTCCTCAAACTAAGCTGGTGATAATTAACAGAAAAATAAAATGTGAAATAAATCTTTTACTCGTATGAAACCGTCTTCGTGTATCATTGTGTTTTATTTCTGTTGTTGTTTAAAGCTCATTGTAAAGAGACTTTTAGACACATAAAAGCTGACATTAGTTCTTTAATCCTCATCAGTCATGGTGAGATGTAATAACTGGCCAGAGGGTGTTGTCAGAATAAAGGTCATTACTTCAGAAGGGTTTATCATATGAAAGTGTAAAGAAATATGCAAAATAAACAAGTGTATTTGTGTGAAGATGTGTACACAGAAAGGTCAACAGTGACAACAGGCTATAGCTGTTTGTCTTTATGCTAAGCTAAGCTAACCAGCTGCTGTCCATAGGCTTATATTTACCAGACTGACATGACAATAGGAGCTATTTGTAAGTCCTTTGCTATTGCTACGTAGCTAACATTAGCATTAGCACCTGTTTACTCACCAGTCTAGAAGAAATGTTGAGAGTTCAGCACCAAACTTCATTCATTTACTCGACAACAGCTGTCTCCACCGGTAGAGCGGCCATTTTGTTTTGTTTCCATCTCTATCTCTTCTTTTCTTCTGCTGAAAGTAGCATGCTAACTAGCTAGCTCTGGCCCAGTCAGGCTGTCTTGTCACTTCCTGATGGCGAGTAACTGAAGGAGTAGCTGCTCAGAGGACGTATTAAAATGCAACAAGCTGAAACTCTTGGCAAGACAAGTGCTAATGCTAATGTTAGCTATGTAGCAATAGCAGAAACTTACAAATAAAAAAAGTTGAAAGTAAATCTTGGAAAGAAAAGTATATCTCCTAAGTGTTGCTTCAAGTCAACTGGTTAACTAGTCTGAACTAAATCCCATTGTTGTTGGATACTGAACTCACAGGTCAACCTGCTGGTGTTAATCCTCTGTCGTGTCCCGTCCTCACACCAATGTTTTCTGTTTTATTTCATATTTGTTTATCATTTCCTCTTTTATTTTGGTGTGTCTAGCGTTTCCCCTCATTTCAAATTTACACTTCCTGCCATCGTGTGTCGTCCACCCCGCCCCTAATGTACTGCACCTGTGTCTCACTGACTTCCCCCTCCAGGTGTGTTTGGTCTGCGTGCTCCCCGTCCTCTGTGCCAGTTCGTGAGTTCAGCCTCAGCCCTTGGATTTGTTTGCCTGACCTGATTGATCACCTGTGTGGAGATCCTGCTCGTATGAAAGACCCTGCCCCTGATCTCCGTGTCTGAGGTGGTTTACAACCCTACAGTGGTTTGCTCCGCTGCGATTCAGCTGATGAGTTTACAAACCAGGTGAGAACGATCTCTCCTCTGATTGGTCAGATCGTCTGGAGCAGGAAAGTAAACACAGGAAGAAGGTTACGGGAACTGTCGAGCTCAAACTTCCAGTTCAGAACTCTTTCACATTAAAAAATGAACCGCTCCAGAGTTCGTCTGGGACCGGACCGAGACCACCTCCTCACAAGGGTCTCGATTGTTTCAGTACCTGAGTGAGATTACTGTTTCCACACCTGCACAGACGAGTCGTACCAAGAGGGAGTCCTCGTCTTGTGGTTGTGATATGGAGAACATGAATGAGAGCAAAACCTCTT